AAGTCAATCAAGAATCTCTTTAGTCGACTACACCCTTATTACATACATTTTGCTATGTACATTATAATACTCAAATTCAAGTAAAAAACAGATGTTGAATACACTTTGTTCAAACGTAACAGAACTAAAGGTATTTATATCCAATATGCTTATGAGATTACTTAAAGGGCACATATTACAGTATTTTCTTATCTGTTATAATGTTATTTCTTCATCAAAAACAGACCTGGAGTTGTGTTTTGTTTCATTCACACACGTTTAACGCACAAAACCTGCATATTTCATATTTTGGAGTTCTTGTCTCAAACTGAAAACACTTTAGTCCAGAGGTGGGCAATTATTTTTTCCATGGGGCCACATGAGAAACAAGAAATATTGTGGAGGATCAAAATGCTTAACTCAATTCTGCATAATATTACTTATATTTCTTTATAAAAATCGGTAAATAGCATTGTTTTAACGAGCTGGTAAGAGTTTATGTTATGACTAAGCAATGAAAAAATGAGGCTGACTTACATTAAAAAAAAACACCTCTAAAATAAAAGTAATGCAGCTTTAATCCACGCATGAGGTAAAATGATACAGTATGTTTGTTTTGTAATTCCAAATCAGCTTAAACAGGCCAGTCAGAGTCAACCAAACGGCCGTATTTGACCCGGGAGATGTATAATGCCCAGGTCTGTTCTATTTTGTTCCACCTTCTGATGTCATGTGGTAATACAAGAAGTGCTCCACTGTGTTTTCAAACATCATACACTTTCACTAGAATCATTTGGATGGGTTCAGCCTTGGAATTGCCCATCCTCAATTTAACAAAAGTAGTCGTAAAAATAGCTCTGTTAACGTTTAAACTACCATTACATGACAGGAACAGAGCGTTTTGAGCTTTGGAGATGTAGACAGACTGATGTGTGAATGAAACAAAACACAATTCCAGGTATTTTTATGTATTTTTGAGGAGATAACAGCATTCTAACATGACTTAAACCTCACAAGAGTTAATTTTGTGTAATCTAGGACCTGTAAACCTCTCAATCTTGTATCTCTTTACAGTATAGTTTCATAAGACGCGTGAAAGGGGAGAATGTTTTTATCCGACACAGTAATCTGATGCTGATGGAGGTCAGTGAGAGCATCCATGAAGACGCATGAAACGTGTGGTCTTTGGAAAATACGCCAGTCTAACCCTATAGAAAGGCCTGACTAAGTTAACATAATATTGCATTTTGCTGTGACTTCTTGTGGATTTTGTGCAGTAATTAAAAAGAGAGAAACTAACCAAACCTAACTGAATTTATGATAAGTTAAAAGGACGCTTGAAAATGTTCTTAGCAGTAACCAGAGGTGGGTAGAGTTGCCAAAAATTGTACTCAAGTAAGAGTAACGTCGCCTATAAATAACATTACTTGAGTAGAAGTACAAAGTTGTGGTCTAAGAAATAACTTAAGTAACTGTAAAATGACTACTACTCAAGTAAAAGTAACTTAAAGAGTACCTGTCAGGATGTAACATTTGGTTTATAATTGGAAGTTAATGTAATTTGGAGGACAAAACTTAAAAAAATGCACAAAATCTGGTATTTTCAAAGGATAAACTCAGGGCAGTAGACGGGGGCACAAAAAGGGTTTGTTGTCCTGGGCTCCAGTGTTTTAGGGGTTCAGAATTGGACTCTCTTTGTATGAATTTATATTAAAAGTCAAATTTCTGTTGACAGGCCTGGATAGACACAAACATGAGACAAACTTAAGGGCATCTGCAGGATCTGTGCAAGAAAGACAAATGTTCAAATCATTTCATATTGTCCACATTAAGCTGGGGTCACCAAATTTTTCTCTCTGGGGAAAACATTATTGCTCCTGACTGATGGTCGGGTCGATCGTATAACAGAATTGTATGACTTTGATGACGCAGATTATATTCTTTGAAAACCGCCACACTTTCTTTACATATCAGACAAACTGCAAGGTGCTTACGCTGAACAAAAAAATGATTGCTTATATACTGTTCTTTGAAAATTCGGCACTCTCTGTTAACTTTTCGTACTTTAACACTCGCCATTTTGCTGTCCTTAACGCAGGCGCAGAGTACTGTAGTGCAATTTGACTGTCACTGTTTGATCTCGAGGTTGTCAGGTGATGAAAATTCTGTGGTAAATTCAGCAGCAAATAGGTCATATAATTATTTAAACATAAATTTAAATACTTCATATAAATATCATTTTTAAATTGATAAAAATCAACAAAATACAAGATGCAGACATGTTATTATTTCCCAAAAAGTAATTAAAATGGTAAAAAAAAAAATAGGCCATGACAACTTTTGAGTATTGCCTCATAGGGCCAGTTCAAGTGGTGGGGGGCAGAGGGGCTGTGTGTAGAATTAGTTATAACTGGAAGAGGAACCACAACTTTTACCCAAGTAAGACTAAAAGTGCTCTGAAAAGCGCAATCTCTTTAAAAAAGTTTCCTCAGATAAATGTAACTGAGTGAGTCCTACCCACCTCTGTCAATAACTACAATTGAATTTGTGCATGAAGCAAGATGGCATCATGTGGGCACTGGGCAGGTAGATTTTATTAGCTGTGTGTTTCCGTCCTCTTGATTTAATTATATTTTCCTAACCATCATGAAGAGGGTGTATTGCTGCTTTGTTCATCCGACGGCTTTTATATTTGATCCTTTTTTTTTAGTAGTCGTCAAAACAAGACAAAACATCCCTTTGTCCTTTGTAAGCGAACTTGAAACAAACACTTTTCCAACGCAATTATTTGTAATGACAACTTGATTTGTTTGATGGCTGGCCAGGCTAGCTTTTTGTCAGTTTGTGCTATTGTTTTAAAGGTGCACTGTGTAACTTTATCTACTATTATATCCATTGGAGACAAGCGGGTCAAGCCACTAGCCCAAGTTACAGGTCAGATCTGTGGAAAAGCGGGACAGCTCCTGTAAGAATACAAGTGTTTCAAGTTTTTTTTTGAGCAATAAAAACACCTTTTAACTGAGTAAATGCAAAATATACTTAATGCCATACTGCGGAACATTCCAGGCAAAGCAACATCATGCCCATGGAGAAGTAAGTGGTGGAGCCTCCACAAGAAAAGTTACATATCGCACCTTTAAAGCTTGCAGATTTTTACATATAAGCACTGATACTTTGCAGCTGATGTCCTGAACATTCACTGGGGGGGTGATGCTAACTGGAGGAACTGCTCTGTCTGAAGCTCACTTTAATCTGAGTTTTGTTGTTTGTTGTGCAGATTTAGCTGGAACTACAACTTATGATTTGTGCTGTAAAACAAGTCCCTCGTAAATAACATTACAGTCACAAGTTAAATAGAGTTAGAAAGGAGTTGTTTTTTTTTTAGTTAATCGCTCTCTCCTTTTTTGTTGAAAATCAAACACCTAAGCAGAACCATGAATGCTTATATTGATTTTCAAACAATTTAAAAACTTATCAGACGGTGTTTGCTAATTTGTGAATTGCGTCACCATGGACTGATTAATTGAATTTTGATTACAGTTTCAATTTGTGTGTCGTTCTCCAAACTCATATAATTGAGTTGAAATTATTTAAAGCTTGACATGTATTTTGGGATATTTTTATATAAATAAGTATATTTATTTTATTTTTAAATATAGAGATTGTAGAACAGCTGGATATATAGTTTATTTTGGATACATTTATGTTTTTCTATGCCTTATTTCATGTTCATAGTATTATTTTGTGTTTTATAGATCGCAAAACTGCGGTACATATTTATAGCCTATACTTATTTTCAATTTGAAAGTTTTGCGTAAATTATCAATAACAAAGTGGGCTTTTTTGGAGAGAGAAATGCTGAATAAATGCATCGTGTACCAAAAAATAATCGTTTGAATAATCGTGATTTCAATATTGAGCAAAATAATCGTGATAATGATTTTTTTCCATAATCGAGCAGCTCTACATTCCTCCATAGACTTGCATGAAACCCCCCCAGTGTGATGTCACTGCAAAGTAGGACTAGCATTTTATTTTTTGTTGTTGTTGTTGCTTCTTGATGCATTTTGGACGTTCAATCTGCATTAGCGTATCCAAAAGCATAAACGCATGCCCGCTGCTCCCTCCTCCCGCGTCGGCCCGTTTTTCAAAGCCTGTCCCTGGGTCACTTTAGGACAGCGCCACCCCCGTGGAGGTGGCCAAACATCAGACCAACATCAGCGAGTTGAAGAGATCCTTTCTGGAGACGGGACCCACCTCTCCCGGCCTGAGCGAGTGGGACAAAAGGCTCACGTCCTCCCCGACGCGCTCCCCCAAACTCGACGACGCCCCCATGATCGAACCGCTGGAACTGCAGGACGTAAGAGAGGAGCATGGATCAAAAAAAAGGGCCTGATGTTGTGTCTATAGTGCAAGAGAGTGTTTGAATTGTAAAATGTAGTGTGGCGTTTGAGACTAACTAATGCTCACTGGTTTTGGATTAATCTTAATTTAGATCATTTTGATTAGAATACAGATAAAATTGTTTGAAACTACTTCTATACTGCATAATTAACCTGTATAGAAAATATAGATCTAATATATTGTTATTAGTATGTTTTGTAACACTTATTAAGCCTATGTAGATTAGAAAGTTGTCTTGCTGAACTGAATGGACTAATAATTTAAACTTTACATGACTTCGCGTTGTACTGATTGTGACATTTTTTTCTTTTTTTAACAGTAGGGACCAGCATGTTTTACGTTGTACTTACCTAGTGTGATGATGTGGTGCTATCGTTTATAGTCTGTAAGATATTTAACACGCCTGTTTGTGGCCTAGTTTGAAACTGAAACTGATCTCACTGGGATGAAGTTGGTTAATGTTGCTTTTTAACAGAGTTGGTTTGTACAGAACAATGCTCTGGTGGACTGTGTATGTGTCCCATCATTATAAATTTCTTAGACATGGTGTAATAGTACTTATCCGCCGTCTCCACACATGTTCTTCAGGATCTTAAACGTGTTCTTCTCTTTTTCAGGCTAAAGACGAGCCGGCTGCAGAGGAGGCGATGGAGGAACCCAAAGCCACAGAGGTAAATGAACAACTCTTAGAACAGCTCTTATTGGTTCTTTTTTACATGTAGGCTCACATTTTAGTCACATTTTTTATTTATTTATTTAATTTTATTTAAGGGACAGTGCATATTAATGAACATCTACAAACACTGCACCGTAAATATGCCAGATTATAGCAAAAAAGCTTTGTCCATCTGTAGTCTCTAGGCAGGTAACAATTCAATGGGATGAAGATGCTTGTGTTTAACCAGATATTAGTATTATGATATAGTAGGCTACTTTGACGACTCCTCTGAAGAGCACAAAGTACATCAGGATACCGTATTTTCTGCACTATAGGGCACACTTAAAAGCCTTTCATTTACTCAAAAAACGACTGCGCGCTTTATAATCCAGAGCGCCTTATATATGAATTTTTTCGGGTGTCTTAGTACGACTTTTGTAAACTATAAAGCCACACCACTTGCAGCATTACAGCTCCCGTAGTCAGGAGCATCGCGGAGTAGTACATACTGTGATTTCTTTTAATATCAAAATGCACCTGTCAAGAGACACGCTTACAAAGCCCACTTTAAACTCAAGACTATTATAAAGTTAAAATGCGAGCAGCGTGGGAGCAGTGGATGAGAGAAGGCGAACACACATTCACCAAGACAGGGAGACAGCGCCGAGCGACTTATGCCACGATCTGCCAACGGATCGTGGACGAGTGGGCTAAGGATCAGTATCAACTGTGGTCCGAGCTTTCACCAAGACCAGAATCATCACTGAACTGCCAGGGAACAGTAACGACAGACTCAGATAATGACGAGAGGGATGCGGGCGTGCTGGACGCCATAATCACCCAGCTGTTTGAACAATTATGAGTTATTGTGAATACAAGAACAATTTAGCGTCTCAGACAGTATTTTTTTTACACGTTACAATTGAACAAAGTTGAGAGTTATTGTGAGCATGTTAAATAAAGTTTGACTGACATTTAATGTGCCTTATAGTCCGGTGCGGTTTATATGTGAAAAAAGTTAGAAAATAGACCATTCAATGACAGTGTGCCTTATAATCCAGAGTGCTCTATAGTGCAGAAAATACGGTATATCATTATACTCTATTCAATATTATTTACCTATCATACAACTTATGTTTATTCTCTAGTTCTGGAATACACCAGTAAAATCCCATAGAATAGTATTATAATGTATAAAAGAGAGGGCCACCAGTCGCATCATATTTATACGGTATATATGACTAGGATTGCTTTGTCTGACATCATTACAGCTTGTTAGGTTCAAAATTCAGGGACTCATTCAGTCTTTCACCACTGCCCTCTGGTGGTGAGTAGATTTAGAAGGCCAAAATGTCATTATAGTGAAAGAGGCTGCAATTCCATGGGATCTGACGTCTTCACTTAAATGTAACACAATCTTGTGTTTTGTCAAAGTCTTGTGTCCATGTGTCTGTGTCTCTGCTGTCTTCTCCTTCTTTCTATCCTCTGCTTTGCCTTGTGGCTCTTTAACTCTGTCACTAGTTTTCTGAAAGCCCAGTGTGTTTTAGGCCTCAGGGTTTCTGGTCAAATACACGGTGGACAGTTTGGTCACAGACGGTCACACTTCATCTGGTCCTCACGGCCTCAGCATCTCCACCACCATGGACGATGACGTGTTTATGGACGGGACTTTGAGAGAGGTCCCAGAGAAAACCCCGGATTCACAAGACGAGGTTTCGGAGAAGTCCCTGGTTCGGCTCAGTCCTGGTGCGGTCCGTCAAGAAGTGTCCCAAGCCATTAGTGACAAAAGAGGCATGCTAATTATACTCAAAGATGCAGAGGATAGAAACAATATGGAAGAGACAAGCGTTTTGAATGAGAAAAATCAACTTGGAAACGTAATTATTGAAGAAAAAGAAACCAAACTTGACAAACTTAAATTGCAAAGCCCTAAATTGGAGATTGAATCAGTTTTGAATGAAATCAGAAGCATTGAATCTCCCAAAAAAGCGATGGCATTTTGGATTACCGAGGAGGAGGTCAAGATTGCAGCAAAGCCTGACGACCCAGTTCCCGTAGCGACCGAAGAAGCCATCGTCGTGACTACCAAGGATGCTGCTGACGTTACTGCCACGACGCAGGAGGAGAACGTCGCTATAACAACGGGGGAGGATGCTGTTGCCCGGACGACGGACGAAGAGGTGAAGGAGGACGAGCAGGGCGACCGAGAAGAGACACAACTGCAAAAATCCGATATCTTTACTTTCGAAGTTCAAGATGAGGGAGTGACCAGCGTGGTGAAAATTGCAACGACAACTTTAGCCGTGGTATTGTAAAAAAATAAATAAATAAACCAAAAAATAATTAAAAAGGCTCCTATCATATCAGCCCTACCTCCCATTGCCTCCCTCTTGCAACAGCCAAAGCCAAAACAAATCTAACCGCAGCAGTGCTAATGGCAATGACATGCATGGCTAAATTAAGACAGGGGTGTAACAATATCCAAATCTCATATTATAACAGCATCAACGTGTTTATTTTACCTTTTCTAACGTCATATTTATCGTAATACTCTGTAAAATTTAGCCCAGAGTCTAAGGAACTTAACCATGACTAAATCAGCAACTCAGGAACTAAGTCCTAAAGTCTAAACCAGGACTATACCAGGACTATTCCTCATCACAAACAGACCCGGAGTTGTGTTTTTGTTTCATTCACACATGTTTAACTCATAAGCTCTGTATATTTAGGCTGTGTTCTTCTCTCAAACTGAAAACACTCTGTTCCACCGTAACACAGGAACTACAGGAAGTGCTCCACTGTGTATTAAACTCCATGCACCTTCATGGATATTGGAGACTTTCTATTGTCAATTTCAACTGTACAAAAGGCAGTGGGGGCTCTAGGACCACATGTAACATTCAGGGGCCAAGTATAGGATAAACTACTTGGCCCGGGAGTAGTTATTCATCCAAGCATACAAATTATTAATTCAGTATGGTGCAAATACAAGCATAGACGATAAAAAAAGCTCTCCACAGGTTTGTTTCTTCTCCCATTAAGTTGTATTGATGCTCCACTGCCGCCAAGAGTTTGGGGCTGGAATTTCATCAGTGATCATTGAATTCTCCAGTTGTTTTTCTCATCAGTTGATTGACAGAAAAGGAGCACTTCAGGGGCCAATCGGATTAGAGGTGGGGTCAGGGCCCCTGTGGTCCCTCCCCTAGAATCGCCCCTGATCAAAGGAAACAGAAATATTCAAAAATAAAAGCAACAACTTATGGTTATTCAATCAGAAGAGAGAAAGTTCAATTAGCTTTTAACCCTAAAACTACCACTAAATGACATAACAAGGTCAAACAGAGGATTTTGAGCTTTGAGGATGCAGAAAGTTTAATAATTCAGGATTAATCAAACGTGTGACGGAAACAAAACACAACTTCACATATGTTTTGATTAGGTAACAGCATTCTAACATGGCTAAAAGCTCACAGGAGTCTGTTTTGTGTACTACTGGACCTTTAATGTCATACAAAAACCTAAGAGCAAAGCCTCACAGTCATGGCTGCAGAAACAACAACAGCAGAGTTAAGTCTTGTAAGATAACAGTTAATATTGTTTTGCCAATATTGTTACATCCCTACAAATAACAGTCTCTTAACACGAACGTTCACTACAGCAGCTGCCAGTAATCCAGTTTGTGATGCAACCAAACTGGGCGCTTTTTGGTTTTGAGTTGGTTCAGATCTGGTTGCAGCTTGCATTTCCTTCCCAGCTGGCTCTCTCCGTGTCTGGGGAAGGAAAGAAATAATAATGTTTGTTTTGTTTTGTTGCTGTTTATGCTTCGCTTCAACTTCACTTTGATTTTCAGCTTTGATCAAGTCACAAAAAATATGGCAACTGCTTTTTCCCCTCATTCTCAGAAAATCCCCTCTGCCTTTTAACAGATAGACTATATTCTATGGCTGTGTCTTATTAGGAAATCCCACTGTTTTGTACTTGTTGTTTTTCTTTTTAATTGACAATTCTAGTTGAAAATATTTGGGAGAAATTATCTAGTATTTTAATTTCTAATGTTCTCAATATTCTCCATCAGACAGTGGAATTCCATTCAGTCTAAACATTGAAAGGAGAACAAGGGATGGTATTGGCCAACATGTCACTGTAATGTTAATAAGTCTAAGAGAAAATGGGGTCATGTATTAGTAGGGCTTCAGTGACAACATTAAAAATATCCTGCAGATATTTTGGGCTGTTAATAATTACATGTAATGGTTCTGTGCAACAGCAGCTGGATACTTCTGGTCAAAGAGACACGACACGACCATTTCTGCTCTAATGTAATCCCTATGAAGGTTTTGTCGAGTGGCGCTCAAACTAAAGCCAGGTTGGCGCCACCTAGTTCCTCCGCTCAATTTCATTTCTCTCCAGCGACTAGGTCAGGAATCAGAATACACTAGACGTTTTGCAAGAACCCTGGAAAGTGCGAGTTTAAGCACCAAGCCAATCAGTGAAGAACCACACATTCTGTGTTGGCAACAATTCACGAGATCGAAGATTTAAAGCCGGAACAAAGAGAATGTTTTGTTAATTTTATTAAGATGAAAGATGTTATTTCCCTTCTTCCTATGGGATTTGACGTTAGCGGTGCATTACTTATGTTACGACCAAATGGCAGCGATTGGTTAAATTAAAAAAGTATTCGCATACCCTTGGGCGAACGAATCCTAATGCTGCGAGATCAGACGGTTTCCACAAATTGAAACCGGTTCATGAATCAGGCTACTAAACCTACTCAATCCTGACAGATCAGACAGTGGACAGAAAGCTGCTGCAGGGAAATCTTCACTAAAGGACTCTTCTGCTTTTAGAAAAGTACATCTTTGTCTGTCAGTGCTAATGTTAACTTTTAAATCTAACATAACAAAATTATATCTGTGGTAAAGACTGGCCTATTGTTTAAATGTATTAAACATTACAAAGACTCAGAAATGTCCCCTGGTGAAGAGTTTAACATGCTGTCAGTGAGATCCACCCTCAGCTCTCTGTCCGCTGTCTGATCTGTCAGAATTTATTGACTTAAATGAGACTCATTAAAACCCTCAGAGAATTCATTATGCCGGAAATGGTCGGACCGACTGTCCCTCTGATTGGAACTATCCGGCTATCATCGTGCCGAGCCAGTTCCACAGAGACAAATTAAAGTTTCGCTAGAGAGACGATTGACTTAACGTTTGGCCCTATTTGACCTTTTCTCCTTTCACTGGTCCTGCTTCTCTCCTCACACTTTCACACTCTTTACTCACATTACGCTGTGTTTATGTTTATGCTGTGTGTTCTGATTGTGCTGTGTGATTTCCTTCTTTGTCGCTTCAGTCCACTCTGGGAATAGTTTCTTCTTCTACAAAGGTGACTTTTACTCTTTTAATTTTGTCTTTTTTGTTTTCGTACATGTCTCCGCACAGTAAATGTTTTGTACATTTGTTGTCTAAACGGTTTTACACAACTTTATAGAATAAGATTAATATTGTCAAAAGAGTAGATCCTCATTTGAACAGGAATCGATCCTCAAAAGTCCCATTGACAGGATAGAAATTAACCTTTCCTGAAGCTTTAGAATGATCTTGAGCCTTATCAGAACAAGAATAAGAGCACATAGACTAGTATACGCACATGGACCACTGAGGGATTGCACAGATACAAGTCCACATGTGTATCTAGTGTGTTCCTTAGTATTAAAATCAAGTTTGAAATGTTACTATCATGACAACACTAGTATACTAACATGATTTCATACCAGGGCTGCACAGTAATCGAAAACGCAATTCAGTTTCACTCAAATTATAATGGCTGCAGTTTATTTAGATGATAAAACGTTTATTTGTACCTGTAGTTTAGACTTCTACAAACATCTTCTGAAGCGCATGGGAGTCTTGTATTACTTTATCAGTTCATATTTCAGTCTTCTCTCAAATGTTAACACTCCCGGAGTTGTTTACAGTGTGCACTCTGAACAGAATCCTGCTTTTCAAACATATGTTGCAAATTTAATCGTAATACCGGCCAGGAAAATTGCAGTTGAGTTTATTTTGTGCAGCCCTGGTTCATGAAGAAAATGTATAGAAGAAACACAGTATATTCATATTGTAAAACATTTAATTTGTCATTTGTGAATGTGAATTTGACCAAGACGATGGCGATATCTTACACCAGTCGTGACTTGGACTCGAGTCAGACTTGAGTCCCTATTTTTTAGGACTTGAGACTTGACTTAATAAAACAGACAAAGACTTGGTACTCGACTTGGACTTGAAGGTCAGTGACTTGGGACCTGACTCGGACTTGAGAAGACTCGAGAAGCACTTTTAAATCTAAATTCTTTCTTTTCTGACTGTAATGATTCACTCTAAGATCTTGTCAAGACATTTAAAAAGTATAAATTAACAAAATTATTTTCTACAACTCTTATATACTCTATAAATATTCATATATAAATATACTTTGATTTTTTTTAAGTACAATTTATCTTAAAAGTCATATAAATTGCAAAAATCTACGCTATATTTGGTACTTTGGTTTAAAGACTTGAAATGACTTGAAGCTCAAAGCAGACAACTTGGACTTGACTTGGACTTATAGACTGGTGACTCGACTTAGACTTGGACCTGTCATTGACTTGGGACTTGACTCGGACTTGAGGTCAAAGACTTGAGACTTACTTGAGACTTGCAAAACAAAGACTTGGTTCCACCTCTGACTGCGATAAGATGGGGAAGGAAGTGCAGTCTCTTTTTATGCATTTTAATTAAACTTTTTTTGTCTCTCTTTCTTTTGCAGACATCACCAGTTGTAGAAGACAAGACCGCCATCGCAGCAGAGTCAAAACCAGATCAAGTTGAGTCCACAAGTCCAACGGTGAATATCCAAGCTTCAGATACAAACCATATACACAAAGATACGAACAAAACAGAAATTCTTGCCAAAGATGATGACAAAATCGCTCCGCCTTCATGCCCCGTAGCAATCTTTGTTAGCGATCCACCAGATGACTGTAGCGCTCCGAGCGTGGCGCCATCTATTGAGCAAAATCAGGAATTGTTAGAAAATCAGCCAGATATAAACGAGCAGTTTTGTGAAGATGATCTTAAAGAATCACCGGTTGTGGAAAATGTGGAAGTAGTTTTGGATGCAAATTTGGAAGAAGACATTTTGACCAATGAAAGTGACGGTTTTCGATTCACAGTTAGTCCAGAAGTAAGCGCACCGTTGTGTGAAAATGATCTTAAAGAGTCACCGGTTGTGGAAAATGTGGAATTAGTTTTGGATACAAATTTGGAAGAAGAGGATTTGCCAAATGAAAATGACGGTTTACGATTCGCAGTTAGTCCAGAAGTAAGCGCGCCTTTTTGTGAAAATGATCTTAAAGAGTCACCAGTTATGGAAAATTTGGAAGTAGTTTTGGATGCAAATTTGGAAGAAGAGAATGTGAAGAATGAAAATGACGGTTTTCGATTCACACTTAGTCCAGAAATAAATGTGTCGTTGTGTGAAAATGATCTTAAAGAGTCACCAGTTGTGGAAAATGTGGAATTCGTTTTGGATGCAAATTTGGAAGAAGAGGTTTTGACCAATGAAAATGATGGTTTCCGATTCACAGTTAGTTCAGAAATAAGCGCGCCGTTTTGTGAGAATGATCTTAAAGAGTCACCAGTTGTGGAAAATGTGGAATTAGCTTTGGATAAAAATTTGGAAGAAGAGGTTTTGACAAATGAAAATGACGGTTTTCAATTTGCAGTTAGTCCAGAAATAAGAGTGTCGTTGTGTGAAAATTATCTTAAAGAGTCACCGGTTGTGGAAAATGTGGAATTCGTTTTGGATGCAAATTTGGAAGAAGAGGTTTTGACCAATGAACATGACGGTTTCCGATTCACAGTTAGTCCAGTGAGTATTAACGAGGTCATCGATGGTAACAAAGCGGACAGGAAGTTGGATAGACTTCAAGCTAGCGATAGTTTTGAAAAAAGGGTGAAATTTTCCGACGTAGTGACGTATTTTAACGCGGTGGAAGTCCATGCAGAAGTTGGTTGTGATACAGAAAGAAAGGAAGATAAAGAAACTGAGGAGCTATTCCAAAACCAAGATGAGTCCCATGGCGTTCCCTACGAAAAGGAAAGATATCACAAAATCCAGCCGGACAGCTTCGAGGATGAAAACGAGACGCAAGAAGAATCTCAAGACGATGTAAAGACGCAAAAATCGGAAATTACGAATGAACTAGAAGGTGAACTCGACCAAGATGACAGTTTGGAAGAAGACCAGCCAGATGCGGAGAGCCCCCCAAGCCAGCCCCTCCAAGCCCCAAGTGAGGTAACCATTTTGGGGTTGAACGTCGCCACCTCCCTCCCCGTAACCTCACCACAACTTTCCCTTCCTGATGACACAATCTCCACTAATAATCAAAGGGAAACTATGGAAAAAGATGCACGGATAACTCCTAATTTCACGGTTTTTCACAATTTTGGGGGAATTACAAATACAGGGAAGCGATGGCGTTGTTGATCAAAGCCTTGTGATTTCAGTGGAAAAGGGTTTGACTCTTAACGCATGACTGCATGTTTGTCAACAGATCCAGGAATGACTTTGTGGACCAGTGGTAATTGGTTATGTCTAAGTAATTTTGTAATGTTCTAATATTCTGTCTTTGGTGTTTTGTTTTCTACACTCAGTAACACATGTGAGTTAAAGAGGGAGTATTATGCAAAATATATATATATATATTTTTTTTTTTTTTACTTTCTACCATGTTTCTAGCAACATTCCCTCATCAAAAACATGCCCGTTCAGACTGGAGCGTCAAGGCGTCCAGTTTATATTCAGACTCTATGTGGACACGCGTCAAGAGCGTCCTGCGTTTTTTCGGCGTGTAAAGGGCGTCAGCACGGCACAAATCTGGCATTAATGCAGACTGTTAACCAGTCAGGGACGACTATCCAGTGATGCAGCGACGTTATTTTCTGGAAGAAGGAGAAGGGGCAGGGAGCCACAAACATTAGCAGATTATAAATATATACACGCCACAACTGCCAAGCCAATCTCAAGGACTACACCAGGACTGGACCAGGATTGGACCCGGACTGAACCAGGGCTGGACCAGGTGTAAACCAGGTCTAAACCAAGACTAAATCAGAACTAAACCAGGACTGGACAAGGACTAAAGCAGGACTAAACCAGTGTTTTTAGCGGAGTATAAATATATACACACAGCAGCCGCCGATTGCCAGGACTACACCAGGAATAGACCAGGACTTGACCAGGACTAAAACAGGACTAAACCAGGACTGAACCAGTGTCATTAGTGAAGTATAACACGCAGCAGGTGCCAAGCCGATCTCCTCCGCTTGATGGTTTTATGTAATAAAAACACTAAAGTCACTCTCTTAGCCTGTTCTGCCATCATTCTGAGAAAAGACCGGGTCCGGGCACTTGTTTCCAGGGCAACAGACACGCGTCAAGTATTTTTCTCCCGTTCGTCCACGCCGACCAAGACACGCGTCAGGGCCGTCTAAACTCAAATGCAAAGGTGTCGAAATAGAGGCATCCAGGGCGTTTTTTTGACGCCGCGGTCTGAACGGACCTTAAGATGTTTTATGTCTTTCATGCATGTTTGAGTAATTTAGCGATCTCTTCCAGGGCCTGCGCTCAGCCCACAAGCTTATGTCACCAATTCTCCCACACGACAGTTTCCCGCAAATATATGAAAGCATGATACAAAACAATGCACTGCAACTTCACAAACCTGGTGCAATGTGCAGTAGTTTCATGAGCGGGCTGCATGCTGATTGCATTGTGACAGTGCTCTGAAGGGGGAGTGACCTAGCACAAGCAAAGGGAGGCGAGACTGAACGAATGTAGTATTTTCAAAACAATAAAAAGTAACATGGTGATCTAAATACGTGTTAGCAATTAATACCCCACAGAAGTGTAATACCCCCTCTTAAAGATGCATTTCACTGCAAATTTCTCTGATCTGGACAAGATTTAAAAATTTATATCAGGTTATTCATCTTATTTTCAGATTTATTATTGACTTACTAATTTTGAGATGCTTAATTCTAGTCTAGAGGTAGTTTATTTTAAGATAACTTAAGTAAAATTATCTTGTTGCATGGACAGATAATTTCTCTACTTTTAAGTCATTTTCTGATAGATTTAAGTGTTTATATCTTCAGTTTTGGCCAAGCTTTTTGGCAGTGTGAGTAACATGTTTATAGACACTGTTTGTTGTTTTCAGAGTAAAATTTGATTATGCCTCCCTCTCAAATGCAACCTGGAGCCAGTACTCATCTTATGATAAAAGCCGCTGTGCCTGATCAAACAAAAAAGAAAAACTAAAACATTTTAAACAGTTTACAGCAGTCCAAACATTTTCCTCACTTACCTTATGAAATCCGAGCAACCTACTTATTCACCCCAGTGAGTTTATAAGCGCTTTTCACAACTCTCAGACTAGAGCAGAGAAGTGACGGTAAATTATTCAACTTATTTTGACCTTAAAACTGTTAATAAAATATATCTGTACTGGGACAAGACACTTTTTGCTCAAATATATGGGAAAGAAGCTGCGAAAAATGAGAAAAACACCAGAAGTTGTAACCAAAACAGACACTGTATTTGACCTCTGCATATTGGCAAAAGTTATTTCACTCTCCCTTCATCTTCATTTAATACTACAAATATAGAATTTACATATTTCTACTAAATCTACACATTTTCCCATTGTCGTAGAAAGGTATTGAAAGATTTATAACATTGTAAGGAGTCTGAGCACGATCTATTTCCATTGCTGCCTAGAGTGGACAAACTTCATTTTGCAATTTTTATTATATGTGGGAATTGGGATTTCATGAACTAAATGAGTTTTTCTTGTTGGACAACACCGCTGTGCACCGCTATGTCCCTCCAGGGCTCCCGTACATGCTCAAACAAAACAGTGTTGCTTTACAGTATAACTAGAACTGTACAGTGTATTCTAGTTGTAACACTGGTCAGCATGTTTTACATATTTACCATTTTTGTCCTTCAGACTGTTGAAAATGACGTGAGCACCAAAGAGATGCCTCCCGTGGTCCACACAGAGACGAAAACCATCACCTATGAAGCAGCAGAGGTAAGGCTGAGTAAACAAATACACTGCAAAGTCCTCAAAATGGCACCCATAGCTATCAAATGTATGGCATCAGTACTGTTATTATCAGGCATTAGGCACTGTAACAAACCGTATTTTCCGGGCTATTAGACGCGCTCTTAAGCCTCCAACCCCATCAAAAAACGACCGCACGCCCCGCAATCCAGAGCGCCCTATACACAAATCCATCGGGTGTCCCAGTACGACTTCAGTAAACTACAAAGCCGCAAACACACACGGAGCAGACAACGACCGCGCAGCGAAAAACACCCACAGACACACTCATCACTCCACGCCCACGAGGAACGGAACGAAGGAACGAACCGAAAAAGCGAGTCCAATGTGCCACTCTGAGCCACAACTGAACAACTGAGTCACTGCGAACACGACAACAATCCGTTGGTCCCAGACAGCACCCTCCCTACACGCCACAACTGAACAAAGCCCAGAGTCACCGTGAACGCGACAAACAAAGTCCCACTGACCCATCCAACTGTTGTGTTTCATTTAAAGTCCGGTGCGGTTTATTTGTGAAAAAAGTTCGAAAATGGACCATTTAATAACAGTGCATTTTATAATCCAGAGCGCCTAATAGCCCAGAAAATACAGTACATATAAGAACACTCAGCACCTTCACCCTTTACTGAGACAGTATAAACACCACACTTTAGATCGCACACAGCACTTTAAACATATTTGCACGTTTTACAAAAGACATTGCACATAATTGGTTTTAAAGATTATATTTATTGTCTTTCCTTTTACCGCTGTGAATCCTGAGGCACAGTGGTACTTTAATTGAAAGCTGCTGGTCCCTGGAGGAAAAGGAGACATAATTAACCAATTACCTTTTTAAATTGAGTACTGCAATAATTATGGTGCAAATAATATGTTTGTGCGTGCGAGCTAAAGTGCGGTGTTTTAGTGTCCTAGTGAAGAGTGAAGGTGACGAATGTTTCAGCTTGTTTATTATGGGCCAAACCACACATCAATCCTCGTCCATTCACATTTTGAGGATCTTTGCCCATTTAAAACATGTCATATTTTGTTATTTGTTTTACATATAGTCAATTGCTATGGCAACAGTGGACATTTTTCGTCAACCCATGGATAGTCAGAGCTGCCTGGGATAGACTGATGAAAGCTTAATTAATTCATCTATATTCAGAAAGAGAGAAGGGGCTAACTAGAGGCACTGCTCTGTCTGAAACTTTTGTTACTCGAGTCAGACCTGAGCGTTGTTTTAACACAATCTGACCATAAAGAAATGACTTAGTTGGAGCTACAAAAGAGGAGCTGTTAAACAAGTCCCTCTCGAGTATGAGCAGTGTTGGGGAGTAACAGATTACATGTACCGGAGTTACGTAATCAGAGTACAAATTATGAGTAACTGTATTCAGTTACAGTTACTGTTTCAATCAGTGGTAATTGGATTACAGTTACTTTGTGGAAATAAATGGATTACATGGAGATATTTTCCTGTTTTCACATTTTGGGCTAAACCAGGACTAAACCAGGACTAAACCAGGACTAAAAGCAGGTCTAAACCAGGGCTAAACCAGGACTAAAAGCAGGTCTAAACCAGCACTAAACCAGGACTAAAACCAGACCTAAAACCAGGACTAAAGCAGGACTAAACCAGCACTAAGCTAGGGCTAAACCAGGTCTAAACCAGGTCTAAACCAGAACTAAGCTAGGACTAAACCAGGACTAAAACCAGGACTAAAAGCAGGTCTAAACCAGGACTAAAACCAGGACTAAAACCAGGTCTAAACCAGAAATAAAACCTGGTCTAAACCAGGACTAAAACCAGGACTAAAGCCCGGTCTAAACCAGGACTAAACCAGGACTAAACAGGACTAAACCAGGACTAAACCAGGACTAAACCAGGACTAAACCCAGGACTAAAACCACTTCTAAACCAGCAGTAAACTAAACTAATACAATATGACACTAACAGTAGGGTGAACATAATTTAAGGCAGCACTGATCTCATATAAAAATAATTTCTCTATCAATAATATTTTTAATCTGGTCAAATAAAGACTGAACAAACATGAATATTCAGGATGTGGTTGGTACATTCATGTAGTTTGAAAAAACGTGACAATATCAAGTAATCCAAAGTATTCAGATTAGGGCTGGGTATCATTAAGGAGTTGCCGATACGATACACACCTCGATACACAGGCCACGATACGATACATATCTCGATACAGTGCACTTTCGATCGATATGATATATTTCAAATCGATTCGATACGGTTCAATAAAAAATAAAGGCTAAATCGTGGCTGTGATACTAAAAGTCCTTGTTAAATTACTTGTTGTACAGAGTTCATATGAAACACAAACATTTTAATCCTTAAAACAGTAAAAATGTCAAATGTGTCGCATAAATGAGTTTCCTTTCACTCCACAAGCAACAAACTGTAGCACTGTAACAAAATAATTTAGTAAAACACACCTAAAATACTCCTGGTGAAATATCGATACAGTAGCCCGCGATATCGATACTGTATCATCACATTAACCGATACGATATATCGATATTCCGATATTTTTGCCCACCCCTAATTCAGATTACGTTACTCACTTTAAGTAGTTTAATGGATTACGTTACAAACTACATTTTGGGGTATGTAATCTGTAATATGTAGGGGAATACATTTTAAAAGTAACCTTCCCAACACTGAGTATGGGTGTGCAAAAATATCGAAATATCAATATATCGTTTAATGTGACAATACAGTGTCAGTATCATGGGCTGCTGTGGGCTCGATATATCACCAAGAGCATTTTTTGGTATATTTTACTAAAATATTTTGTTACAGCGCTACAGTTTTAAACTCGTTTATGTGACACATTTGACATTTTCACTCTTTTGATTATTAAAATGGTGTTTTTTCATATTAATTTTGCACAAGAACACACCCATGATTTAGGCTTTATTTTTAATTGAACTGTATAGAATTGTACGTACGTATCGAGATATGTACAGTTTTTCAGTTTCACTTTTTTATTCAAACACCCAACACCCAAATGGGGCCAAAAGTGTTGTTTAAATCCATTTTGTATTTTTTCTTGCGTTTTCAGACTGTCTTAAAACTTCTTTTGACTGTTTGCTTATGTGTGCTCTGGTCACCATGGTAACTGCTGAACATTTAACCGTAGACCGTATATGTAGAACCCTCCTTCCTCCCAGTGTGATCAAGTATCGATAGAGTATTAATAAAATTAATACAGAGTCAAATTGAATAAATCAAGTCAGAAGTGGCGTGTGAAAGAGTAAATGAGCGTGGAGTGATTTCAAGATGTTTTGTTGCAGGCGGAGACGAACGGTGACGCAGACCCCGGAGTGTTGCTAAGCGCCCAGACCATCACCTCGGAAACCACCAGCACCACGACGACCACTCACATCACGAAGGTCAGGGGTCGAAGTTCATCCTGTGTCAGCCCGATAACGCCTCGCATCTGGCCCAATGAAAGGGGCACACTGTCTCTGCCTGATGTGGATCGCTTTTGTTTACCAGATTTGATTTTTTTTTCAAGTTTGATCTATTTTGCGGTTACAATTGAGAGCTACACTTTATTGTTCTGGGAAATACTTGCACAAAATCTGAAAATCTTTGATCAATTTAGTAAAAGACACGAGCAGAGCAGAGTAAACTCCAATTTACTTCAGCTTTAGTTCAAGGTTAGAGCTGATTCTTTACTGTTTTAGGCATTTATCTGTCTAAATCTAGCCAAATCTGTTATATAGCTGTTATTTACCTCTCAAGTAACTCCAGAACAACTTTGTGTAAATAAAAGTTCAAACATTACACTCTCTGTTCCAACTTCAGCCATATCTGATACCAGTATGGGACTCTGTTCAGTGTTATTGTTTTATATTGTTTATCACAATAGCAACAAGCTTACCGTATTTTTCGGACTATCAGGCGCACCAGATTAAAGGTGCATTATCAATAATGTAGAATTCTCTTGTCTATTTTCATACATAAGGCGCACTGGATTATAAAGTGCATTAAGCGAGACAAACAAGTGACACTTGAGACTGATCCTTTAGCCCAGGCGGAGTAACTCGCCCGGCGTTTCCTCTCTGTCTTGGTGAATGTGTATTATGAATGTGAATGTGGGTGAATAATTTAAGTTTGTTTTTTATTTCCTACGAGGAGGATTCAAATATACATAGAGTAATAATGTGTTTAATGCAGCTTCGCGCACATTTGTTTACGTTTTACAGAAACAAAACTTAAAACCACATGGCTCATTTGCGTAAACTATGAGGACACAACTCCACGAGGCTCCTGACTATGGTAGCCGTAATGCTCCAACAATCCCTCAACCGGTACAGCTTCGTAGTTTACCAAAGTCATACTAAAACATTTTGACAGATTTTTGAGCGCCGTGTAGCACATAAATGCAGTTTAAATTCAGTAAACAAAACCAGAATTAATACATAAGGTGGACTGGATTATAAGATGCACTGTCGATTTTTGAGAAAATTTAAGGATTTTAAGTGCTCCTTGTAGTCCGAAAAATACGGTATGTAATTTTTTAGGCAAAAATAGACTAATTATAAGCATGTTTTTTTACAATTTGGTTGCACTGAAAAACATGTATTCTTACCGTGAGCAGGCTCGCATCTCCACAAACCTGACTCTTGCTTTTTGTTGTTCATTTGGCTGTAATATTCCACAGTACGACATAAAACTTCTCCATGGAGAAAGTTCCAAAGTATGGTTTTCTATTTCCATGGAGACATCAATGCCATGGTGCCAGAAAGTTACTTTTTTGTTTTATTTTTAGATCTTTGCTTTAAAGGTATAGCTTTAATTCTCAGATCTTAAAACAAAACAAGAAGTTGATAGTGGCACGCACTTTAGGCATCACTTTTTTTTTGTAACTTTTTTTTTTTCTTTTTTTCTTTCAGACGGTGAAAGGAGGAATATCAGAGACAAGAATTGAAAAAAGAATCGTGATCACGGGAGATGCAGACATCGACCATGATGAGGTGATTTATTTTGATCCCAAATTCTTTTAAACTTTCCTATTTATTTGTTTTGAAATTCCCCAAAATTTAATTATTACTTTTCAAATTTGGTTTATTAACATTTGAGCGCAATGGGCAATTAAAGCTGAAATTATTTGTTGCAGCAAGGCCAGAATGTAAATATACACGTTTAACTTTGTTGTTTTTATAGCAGTACACTTCTGTAATACTAGCATCCCTGTTTATTTATTGATCTTGAATCCAACATCCCTCCTGCCCTCTTTCCCCATTGTGTGTCTCCCCCTGGTGGTCCCCGCTGGTACTGCACCCACATTAGGCCCTGGCCCAAGCCATAAAGGAGGCTAAAGAGCAGCACCCAGACATGTCAGTGACCAAAGTAGTGGTTCATAAAGAGACAGAGATCACGCCAGAGGAAGGGGAGGACTGACACAGGTAAGTGGCTCCAGTCCCAGTGCAGTCCTGGTCTGTACGAGGTCCTCACGCTGGTCCCAAGTGCTTCAGACCGAGATCCACATGTGCATGGAGGTCATTATAAAGGCATAGTTTGTGTTACGTTTTCATTCACAAAAAAACAGAGGTGTAGAGTAATAAAAAATTGACTTGTTACAGCAAAATAATATAACTCAAGTAGAAGTACAAAGTAGTGGTCCAACAAATTACTCAAGTAAAAAGTATTTGGGATAACAGCTACTCAGGTAAGGGTGAGTTCAAGAGTCGTAACATCTGATTTATCATTTAAACTGATTATAATTTGAAGGGAAAAACATTAAATTATGCGCAAAAGCTGGTATTTTCAAAGGATGGATACAAATGAAACAAACTAAATTATATCTGAAGGAGAAAAGAAACCAAACTGTTTAAATCAGTGTCAACATAAAACTTTTATAACGTGTAGATTTACTCACCGTGGGAAGAGAAACCACAGTTTTTACTCAAGTAGGAGTCCTGTTACTTCAATAAAAATATTACTCAAGTAAAAGTAAAAGTGCTTCTATTTTTTGTGATCTGAAAATAACAATTTCTTTAAAAAGTTACAAAATAGATATTGATAACTGATAATATGATAAATAATAAGTATATATGAAAGCAAAAGTTTCAATGCTTTTATCAGCGCACAAAATTCACAAACTAGGAACTTGTGTCAGCATCACGGAGCAACATAAAACAATTCATAATATTAGTTCATATAAATTTATGAGAAAATTTATTATTTTTATTATTATGGATGTAGTTGACCAAATTAGCGTGGTATTTTTAACTAAATTTGGACTAAAAATATTTCTAAACATTAACAGCATGACAAATAGAGCTGCTCGATTATGAAAAAAAAAAATCAGCACGATTATTTTGGTCAATATTGAAATCACAATTATACAAATGATTATTTTTTAGTTACACGATGCATTTATACTGCATTTCTCTCTGTTTCAAAAAAAACAACAACACTTTGTTATTCATAATTTACATAAAACTTTCAAATTTAGAATAAAAATAGGCTACAAATATGTACCTTAGTGTAGTTTTGCGACGTTTAAAACATAACATGAATAAAATAAACTTTGAACATGAAATAAGACATAGAAAAACATAAATGTATCCAAAATGAACTATATATCCAGCTGTTCTACAATCTCTATATTTAAAAAAAAATCTAATAAATATACTTATTTATATAAAAAATATCCCAAAATAAACTTTGTTATGCTTTATCGTTTCAACTTGATGATATGAGTTTGGAGACCGTTTGACACATAAACTGAAATCGCGATCAAAATTCGACTTAATGACAAATAAATAAAATGTAGAGTGTCAGGGCTTGTTTGTTAATGTTTTGAGCAAATTATTTCACATCACTTCAAATGTACAAATGGATTAAATCATGAAAGGAAGGAAGGCAAAATGAAAACAACTTTTTATAATGAAAATGTTGACAGATTTCTTGTATAAATTAATACTTCACTGCATGAGATTAGGCAGTAGATTATAATTTTTGGAGTTTTAGTTGTTTTGTATATTAGCTTTATTGATTTTTTTTGTCTAGTTTTCGCCGTACATAGCCCTAAAGTGACACAAATATGCGTTTATCGATGATCCGTGCGCATGTGTCCGTCTGAACACTGGTCTGAACTCTGCTCCTGTCTACTCGGGCATGCTGCTGCTTTCCCATCAGCCACTGCTCTGTGCGGGCTCCTGCACCACTCTCTACTAACACTGCCATCGCTGCTCTGTAACACGGGACCGCACAGATACTAAACCATGGTGCTGTCATATTTTACTTGGGACATACAAGGTTAACAAATACTGAATAAGAAAGTCCAAAAGTATCAAAATTCAGATACTAATCAATACTAAAAATGAGTATTGATACTAAAGTCACAGTCGTAGAACAGAAATTAACCTTTTTTGAACAGTTTTAGAATAATCCTGAGCTGTATTCGCCCTTGGACCATTATGGAACCTACCTGGACCACTGAGGGGTTACACAGATATAAGACCACATAATAATAATATAAAAATGTACTATTATTCAAGGTTGAAAATTGATATTCCATTGTGTTTTTAATTATCATTTTAGTATCAGAATCTGTACTGAGAATCAAGTTGAATCCGTGTATCGTTCGTTCATTCGTCTTTCAAAATAAAACCAAAAGTAAGAAAATGAAAAAACAACTATTTTCTTCATTATTTGTCTCCAAAAACAAAATTAAAAAAACTGATAATGATTTGTTTTTTCAGTTTTTGATTTTGTGTTTGTGAAAAAAATGGATAATGGCTGTTTCTCGTTTACGTGACTTAAATTGTGATGCCGGACTGAACCAGGACTAAACCAGGTCCGGGACCAGACCGAGACTGAAGCTGGAACCATACCTGGATCAGATCATGACTGAGACTGGGACTGGACTGGGACTGAGACTGAGACCGGGGCCGTGACCGGGACTGAGACCGGGACCAGACCAGGATTAGACCAGGATTGAGACTAGGACTGAGACCGGGACCAGACCAGGACCAGACTGTGATTGAGACCGAGACTGAGACCGGGACCAGACTGGGACTGAGACCAGGAGTAGACCGAGACTGAGACCTGGGACCAGACCAGGGCCGGACTGGGGCCGGACTGGGACTGAGACTGGGACCAGACCAGGATTTGACCAGGACTGAGACCAGGACTGAGACCGGGACCAGACCAGGACCAGACTGATTGAGACCGGGACTGAGACTGGGACCAGATCGGGACCAGACCAGGACCAGACCGGGACCAGACCAGGACTGTAAACAGTTTAGTCCTGGTTTAGTCCTGGTTTAGTCCTGGTTTAGTCCTGGTTTAGTCCTGGTTTAGTCTGTATGCAGCACAAAAGTCCAGCATCGCAGTTTAAGTCACATAAACGGGAAACGGCCGTTATCTGTTTTTTCGATTATTCATTTAACACAAACTCGAAAACTGAAAAAACAATTCGTTATCAGTTTTTTTGGTTTTGGTTTTGGAGACAAATAATGAAGAAAATTGTTGTTTTTTCATTTTCTTGTTTTTGGTTTAATATTGAAAAGTGAATGAACAAATGATACATGGATTAACTTTTTTCCTCAGTATCCAAATCGAGCTTGAAATTTCAGTATATTTTAGAACACTAGTATAAACAGAACCTTTAAAAAATACAGATTTTAGCGTTTTTTACGACAAATCCCAGGCTCCTCACTCCCCTGCTCCTGCACAGGTCACTGGGTTTGTGCTCAGACCGGATATTGTAGCCACAGTCTGTAATGACAAAGCTTAAATCCTGTGTAATACTCTGGACTCATGCAACCTCTGCACTCTGCCCCCTGCTGGAGATCAGGAACATAAGCCTCTTTCTTTTATACATAAGCCACTTTGAAACACACCAGTGCTAAAGAATCCAATCACACTTTCGTTTTTAAAGCAGTAATTCCATGTTTTATGTTATGTTATTTATATATTTAATTATATTGTGATATATTTGACATTTGAATATTTTATAGTTGCTGAAGCTTAGAGTGAAAGGTGCACTGTGGAACTTTCTGGTTGGGAGTCCGTCACCTGCTTGTTTCTGTGGCAGAGTCTTGCACCGGGGACGGGTACGGGCAAATAGTTGCTGAAACAGGCGGGTTATAACATTCTGTAATTTTTTGGGCGGATAGTAATTACACACGGGCGGGTCAGGACTAAACCAAGACTACACTAATCTTGGACTTAAGAGAGAAAGAGAAACCCGAGCCCGTGGAGCAGGGTGACCGTAAAGTGCGATCGGGCGACGGCTGCACTTAGGTCTGTGTAGCGCGGAGGTCTACGCCGGTCCTTTCGCCTGCGGTCACACGACAGTCTACACAGGCGCACCTCCGGGCCCGCCCCGACAGTGAGTCCTGGTTCAGTTCTGGTTTAGTCCTAGTTTAGTCCTGGTTTAGTCCTAGTTTAGTCCTGGTTTAGTCCTGGTTTAGTCTTGCTTTATTCCCATTTCAGTCCTGGTTTTAGTCCTCCTGGGTCAGTCCTGGAATCAGTCCTGGAATCAGTCCTGGGTCAGTCCTGGGTTAGTCCTAGGTTAGTCCTAGGTTAGTCCTAGGTTAGGTTAGTCCTGGGTTAGTTCTGGGTTAGTTCCTGGGTTAGTCATGGGTTAGTCATGGTTTAGTCCTGGTTTAGTTCTGGTTCAGTCCATAGCGTGTGCAGCGCAAAAGTGCGGCATCTCGATTAATGTTTCTTCCGCTCAGTAAATAATGTCTGTGAAGTGATGATGGATTTTTGACAGTCGAGTCGCATCTGTGAATTCGTATTCGTACTGAAGAAGACGTAACCGTAACTGTTTCATTTCATTTCGTGATTGTAATTCTTGACGTTGTAACTTTTCAATTCGTATTCTGATCGATGCTTCAGTTAGAATGATTTGAATTTGTGTGTGATTTATCACGGGCACGGGCGGGTAACATGTGGAATATTAATGGGTCTTAACTTTAAGAACTTTGATAAAATTTAACTTTGATAAAATCACAAGTCATTGGGCGAGTGCGGTGCTGTACTGCGTGGGTGCGGGTGGGTGCTGGTCTCTAAAAATGGACCCGTGCAGGACTCTGTTCTATGGATATGCCATTTATCTGGCTGGAATGTTCCACAGTATGATATTAAACCGCTCTACTTTACATTTATTCAATTACAGGTGGTTTTATAGCTCAAAAATAACATAAAAATAACATTCTGACCTGTAACTTGGTCTGGTTTGGTCTCCATGAAGGTACAAAGGTTTAATGCCGTACTGTGAAACATTTCAGACAAAGCAAGTAGAGAAAAGCATTTGACGGACCTTCAATCACAAATCCAATCCGACTTTTATTAGTATCGCACATTTGATAAACAAGACCGTTTCCAAAGTGCTTTACATAGCAATTTAAAACATTATACTTAAAAAAAAATCTGTAGAATTATGTTC